CCCGAATAGACTTTATCTTTGTCGGATCTAACTCAATACCCCTCCGGCTGACTATAAACCCCAAAAGTTTCCTAGATGGAACTCTGAATGCACATTTGGCTGGATTCAATTTCAAATCATACCTGCGCAGACGCTCAAAGAAATTTCTCAGATCTCGCACATTGCCTTCTTGTGTTCTGGATTTAATGATCACATCATCCACATACACCTCAATTTCCCGGTGCATCATGTCATGGAAGATGGTAGTCATGGCTCTCATGTAAGTTGCCCCGGCATTTTTCAAACCGAATGGCATGACTCTGCAACAATAAGTGCCCCACAACGTGGTGAAAGCCATCTTTTCTGCGTCGTCCTCGTCGATCAGAACCTAGTGGTACCCAGCATAACAATCCACGAAAGATTGTATCTCATGTTTGGTACAGTTGTCAACAAGAATATGAATGTTTGGAAGTGGAAAGTTGTCCTTCGGACTTGCTTTGTTCAAATCCCGATAATCAACACACACTCGGGTTTTCCCATCTTTCTTCGGAACTGGGACCACATTAGCCAACCACGTGGTGTATCGGACTACCCGAATCACACCAGCTTTTAATTATTTGGTGACTTCTTCTTTGATCTTATCACTGATTTCCGTTTTAAACTTTCTTTGCTTTTGTTGTACAGGTGAGTAACCAGGATAAATTGGCAATTTATGTACTACCAAATCAACGCTCAAACCTGGCATATCATCATAGGATCATGCAAACACATCCTTGAATTCAAACAAAAGTTATATCAATGCATACCTAGTTCTTTCATCGGCGTGAATGCTTATCATGGTTACTTGGACCTCTTTTGGACTGCCCAAATTAATTGGCTCGGTTTCATTTAAGTTTAGCTTAGGCTTATTCTCAAATTGTTCCAATTCTCGATTTATTTCCCTAAAAGCCTCATCTTCATCATATTCTTGATCTTGATTCATTATTTCACAGTTAGACAGCGTTTTAGGATCTGGTCATGAAGTCCGCAAGCATGTCAGGTTATTTAAGTCCGCATTATTAGAACTGAAAAGGAAAAGATAAGAAAAATAGCAAAATTAGAATAAAGAAAAAGGAAAAATCCATTGATAATGAAATATTGATTTCATTTCATTGAATTGAAGATAAGAGGGTTTACATCGAAATCAAAAGACAATAAAATAAAATCATTCGAGTTACACCCTAAAATAACTCGTAATGTAGAAAGAATAGCAAGACTGGACTACTGAGATTCCCGCCTGACAGGGAATGGGGTAGCTTTCCAATTCTGAAGCTTGGAATTTGGCCCCATGTATAACACCTCAGCAGTGATTGTTCCTTCCCCCAGCTAGACCATGTGGGACTCATACAACAATCGTTTTATGGCTTCACAAATATCCTTAATCTCTTCGGCCGTGAAGGCCTCTTCTTCTTCTTTTACATATTTGGGATCAATAAATGACTTGGCGAGATGCGGAACGGGCTGAGGAAGGACCCACCCATTTTTCTTCCGCTCATCAGCCCATTTTCTATCGGCCTCTGTAGCTCAGAAACCTAATCCGAAGAACTTCTCATTGGCGGTTGATGTAACAGGCTCTATGATGCCTTCTAGATATACCCTGATCCCCTTTCCGGGCTTGTACCCATGTTTAATCATTTCAGTGGCGACCATGACCGATGCATTAGATAAGCAAGATTGAGGGAATGGGGCCCCTTCTTTGCATTGATCAACGATCACAATTTCAAAGGCTTGGTAGACAATGTGCTCACTTCCTTCTCTAGCTTCGAGACATGGGACTGGAGGGTCCCTGTAAAAGGACTGTACATCCTCCCCGTGGACAACAATTTCTTAGTTTTCATGTTCAAATTTGACCATTTGATGAAGAGTGGATGGCACAGCTCCTGCAGCATGAATCCATGGTCTTCCTAGGAGAAAATTATATAAAATATCCATGTCCAGAACCTGGAAAGTTACTTCGAAATCTGCAGGGCCAATGGTCAAAATCAAATCAATTTCCCCTATTGTGTCTCGTTTGATTACATCAAAAGCGCGCACACATACATTGTTTGGTCGAATTCTTTCTGTTCCAATTTTCATCCTCTGGAGCATTGAGAGAGGGCAAATGTCAACCCCAGACCCGCCATCTAGCATGACTCTCTTCATATAATAACCTTCGCATTTGACAGCCAAGTGAAGGGCTTTGTTGTGGGTGGCTCCCTCTTGGGGCAAATCATCACGGCTGAAGGAAATCCTATTAACTTCAAAGAATTGTTCAGCCATTCTCGCCAGTTGTTCAACTAAAGTTTCAACTGGGACATATGCCTCGTTCAATGTTTTCAGGAGTACCTTCTGATGTTCATTTGAGCTAATAAAAAGAGATAAAAGTGAAACCTGGGAAGGAGTCTTACTGAGTTGGTCAATTATTGCATATTCCGAAGTTTTCATTTTTCGGAAAAAATCTTCTACTTTCTCAGCACTCACAGGCTTCTTAGGTGGAAACCGTTTATCCTTGCTCAGTTTTAACATCGTTTGCTCTTCTGGGTTATGGTACTTCCTAGGTTGGTTCATTTCGTTCACCTCTCCCATAATCTCTTTCCCCTTGTAAGTAACCACTGTTTTGCTATAATTCCAGGGGACTGCAGTGGGGTCTCTCATAGGGCTCTGTGGTGCGCGGCTAATAACCACGGGCTCATTCAGCCTTGGTGAAATTACCGGCTCCCACACCACATAAGTCTTTTTTGGCACATACAACTTTGGCATATTTAGCGTGACTTTCCTCTGCTCAAATCTTTTGGGAGTGTTCAACATGAGTTTTTCTTTCCTTGGGGCCCTAGGAACATAGAGAATTGCGTCCTTAGCAAGTGCTTCCCCATTATTTGTTTCTGCAACTTGAGGAGTTAGATTGATTTTCTTCTCATTTCTGGCTTGTTTCACCGCCGCTTTAGGTCTTGCCTCTGAATCAGCAATGGCGATGATAACTTTCAAAGCTGGATAAAACTCTTTACCATCACAAATCATTCCAATGACCGTCCCGTTGTTGTGAGCCGGTAATGGATTGTTAATCACATTGGGGACTTCCTTGTCCCTCAGCACCACTCGTTTTTGTTCTATCAAATTCTCAACGGCTCTCTTAAGAGTCCAACAATCCTCCGTATCATGACCCTCTGCCCCCGAATGATAGGCACACCTAGTACCGGGCCGGTATGATGGAGATTCTGGATTTTGCCGGTTTGGAGGCACAAGTTACAATAGACCTATCTGGACTAATTTTGGAAATAGGCTAGAGTAGGACTCACCAATATGGGTGAAGTCGTTTCCCCTAGGATGCTCACGAGGGTGTGTATTATGTTGGTAATTATTTTGTGGGGGACGGGGGTTATATGGAGCTTGGTAAGGATGGTTATATCTGGGAGGTAGAGCTCAGTTTTGGTTGTAGTGTTGTTGTGGCTGTGTATAAGGTTGGGCATTCATCACCGCATAGGGAGGCGGTGCCACGGCATATGCTGCATCTTGATGAGGGTAGTAGTGTCGTGGGGTTCTGGAAGGCAGGTAAGAATGATCGCGAGATTGATGGGGGCCTCTCAAACCTGAAGTCATCATGGCTCCTTCTTCCCTCTTCTTTCGATTTGCTAAACCTCCCGAGCCGTTCTGGGTGGCTTGGGAGGTGGATCTCAAAGCAGATTGACTTATGATTCGGCCAGTTTTCAAGCCATTTTCTACCATTTCTCCAATTTTTGTGGCCTCTGCAAAAGGTTTGCCCATTGCAGATATCATGTTCTAAAAGTAATCGGCCTCTTGGGCCTGCAAGAAAACATTGACCATTTCTACCTCATCCATAGGCGGTTTCACTCTAGATGCTTGCTCACGCCACTTGATAGCATATTCACGGAAGCTTTCTGCGGTTTTCTTCTTAAAATTGGTTAGAGAATTCCTATCTGGAGCTATATCAATATTGTATTGAAATTGCCTGACGAAATCTGGGGCCAAGTCATCCCATATATGCCAATGGGAGATGTCCTGATCTATGTACCATTCTGACGCAATTCCCGTCAAGATCTCTCCGAAATAGGCCATCAAAAGTTTTTCTTTTTCACCTGCCCCTCTCAGCTGATTGTAATATCTTTTCAAATGAGCGATCGGGTCTCCGTGCCCGTCGTAATTTTTGAATTTTGGCATTTCAAAACCAACGGGCAAATGAACATGAGGAAACATACACAGATCGGAGTAGGAGACACTCTTTTGGCCACTCAGGCCTTGCATGTACTTCAAACTTTTTTGAGGCTTTTCATCTTCTGAACCATCTCTTCTTGCTCGGGGTTTCTCATAGCTCTTTCCTGTTCCATAGGAGACTCAAACTGCGGGAGCTGAGGGAAAGAGTTTGGGGTAACATGAGCGTTGTCTAGCTAAAATTGCGGGACTTGAAAAGTGAAAGCTGAAGGCTCGAAGCATGGCCTAGGAACTGNAGGAACACTGCCTTTAGATCTCGTGAAGTAAGGATGGGAAGCCAGATTACCACAAAACCAACCACCTAAACAGGACTTTTGATATTTGCACACACAACAACCTGGTTAGTTTGAGATATTTAACAGATAAGGAATCGCATATTGGGGATGCAATGCACTTAAACAATTAAATGTTTCTAAATATCTTTGCAACGGCTGTATATTTTATCCCGTCTTTACTATCTCTTTTCTCAAATTTCGAATCCTGATTTCTTTTTCCTTCCCTTATTGCTGTTTTTGCTCTTTTATTTTTCACTCTTTTTTCTTTCTTGTTCACTCAATTTTCCTTCTTTTTCTCTCTTTTTCTTTATTTTTCACTCATATTTTCTATAGCTACGATCGAATATGATGGGGATAGCCTACGTATCATGACACCGCATGAATCAGATCATTACGTAGTTCAAGAATTAAATGCAGAATAAAAGAAAATAAAATTTTGGTTTTTGGTTTTTTTCAATATTTCATTAAATAAAATCATTTTGGGTTTTTCTATTACAAAGATTTTGGAAATACTTATGATTAAACATACATACTCAAAACAAAAAAACAGACTCGAAAAGGTAAAATACAGACTCAAAGCCAAAAATAATAAATAAATAAAAAAATCAGGAATACATAAGAGCCTCCAATACTACTCCGGGGCCCCGTGGTACATCAGTCGGTCTCGACGTGGGCATGCGTGCAATCTCTTCTTGAAGGTACTCTAAATCATCCATCACATGACGGACAAAAGTCATCACAGAAGCAAAGAACATGGACCTGGTCATATCTTCGCATTCATGGCATTTCATTGCGACATAATCAGCGATTTCTTTAATCCTCATTCTAATGACGCCCTTTTCTTGGAGCAAGCGTCCAATTGGCTGAGACCGGGCCTCCAACACTTGTGTGGCCATATGGTTTTGGTCTTGCAATTGTTGTATGACTTCTTCCAATCGGGAAATCAATGTATAGCAATGCTCTCTTTCAGCTTTGAAATCCTTTGTCTGTTGAACCATTTTATTTTCGAGATTAGTCATCTTTTCCCTTAAGATTGCGACCCCTCTATCATACTTTTGCTTTAAATGCTGAACACACCTTGCCCGTTCTTCGGCATTATTCGCCAATTTTGCCCAAACTTTTGCCAACTCATCCTCGGCCTTTGTCAAATCAAACCCATAATCATGAACTTTCCGCCTCAGATTGCTTATGAGTCTTTCATTTTTTTTACTTTTTACCGGATTTTCAGTAACTATTTTCATTTTCTAAATCTGAGCTCGGAAGGCTTCATTTTCTCGGGCCAACCTTTTCTTTTCTCCTTCATCCTCGGCAGCCTGCAAACTACTGTTAAATTTGAGGTTTTTGATTTGATCCTCTAGCTTGCTTATGGTGGTCCGGTATTCCTTCTCTTTAGCTAACCAAACCAACTTTTCTCGCGCTCCATAAGTGAATTGTTGGACATGGGGTCTTTTGGCGGGCTGTTCTGTCTCTTGATCGACTCGAACTCTCTTACCATACGAGATTGTGTAGTTAGATTCTACTTCACCCGAGGAATAATCCCGTACTTGAGTCTGTGGCTCCAGAAACCTACATTGGTGCCAAATCTGGCGAACCTTTTCTTCTGAGAATGCGGCTGTTGGGCATAGTTCAATAACCTGTGGACTCAAATCTTCATCATAAGAGACTATTTGGCATCTTCCCAATTGGCGTAGTACCCGATGCGGAGCATATGGATGAATACTCTGAAGTCCCATCAATAAAAGAAAGCACACTCCGGCAGACAAGTAAATAACCTCATTGACCACGAGCCAACTGAAAGTCCACTCAATTCGGTTTGCGGTCAAAAAACCCAAATACGCGAACCAAGCCTCAGTACCCTCCGGTAATTCATGACCGTTTACCCGGTTTCCGTATTCTTCAATGCAATCGAGTCCGGTAGGACCGTAGTTCATGTACCTCGGGCGATGGCAAATATATTCCACCAGCCACATTTGCAAAAGCAAGTTGCAACCCTCAAAGAACTTTGTCCCAGCTTAACAGGCGGTTAGAGCTCGATAGATTTTTTGTGAGAATCATCGGTATAAGAGTGCCGTTGGCCTTTTTGACCATAAAGTCGGCCATTCCTGCAAGTCCTAGCTCTATATGTCTGTCATTCCTTGGGGATATCAGAGTGCCTAAAAAGGCAACTACGAAGGCTAAACCTCTGCGTGCTTCCCATTTGTTTTTATTTCCCTGATGACTCAAACCATTGTCCGGAGCCTCAAATCCTCGGGGATCCCCATACCTGCTGTATAAGAAGTGGAATGTGCAAAATCCTTTGGCCAAATTTCCATCTTTAACCTGTCGGCTAATACTCAGAAGGTCCAAAAACTTATGAGGAGTTACAGGTCTTGGTGCTACTGGATATCGGTGCCTGAGATTCCCGTCAAGACCAACATAACCTGTCATCTCTTCTAGCAAAGGGGTCAACTCAAAATCAGAGAAGTGGAAAACATTGTGCGTCGGGTCCCAAAACGGTATCAAAGCTTCAATTATCTCAACCCTTGGTTTAATTTTCAGAAGCCCGGTGAGCCCACCTAAAGCCTTTGTCATATAAAGCTTGCTGACCTCCCCCAGGTCATTCCACCACATATGGAGTCCCAGTGAAATCTCATCTACGACCTGAAAAGGTACATTCTCAACGTGCTCATTTTGCACACAAATTGAGGACAAAAATCAAAACCGACACATTTTCCAAAAACACAAAGTGGTTAATTTTAAAAATCCAAATCAATAAATTTTGTAACAAAAAGGTTTTTTTTTTCAAATACGGCCCCATCAGCACTTGAGGAAAGTTTTTAGGGTTGTTTCTGCCAACTGAGGTTGGTTATAGGAGAAAAGACTAACTTGGGTTTACATTGTGGCTATTCTTGTGAAAACAGCCTTCCGGCGCTCCAGGAGAATGTTTTAAGGCTATTTTTACAATAACGACCCCAGGTGATGATCATGTTTCAAAAGGTTCTTATTTTGGTTAGTTTTGAAAAAATGTGGCCAGACCTGATAGGGGTTGCCTACGTATCTCACATCCGGTGAGAATTAGACCCGTGTAGCTTGGTAGGTTTTGGAACAATAGGAAAACATGACTTATTTTGAAAATAACTTTTTTTTTCCAGAGTTTCAGTATTTTTCAAATACCTGGATTTTCAAAACCTACCTCACTCTTTGTTTTTTTTATGTTCCCTTTCCCTATTCTAGAAGTCGGTCAACATGTAAGCCGAAACAAACATATGCACAAATAGCACGTAAAATGCATTAAGATGGTCCAATATATTAGATACACCTGTCCTAGACGGACCCAACCCCTGTGTTGAGTCCCCAAAGTCAAATGTACGTGATGCAAATAAACGTTCCTACTAGGGATCCGACATGAGGCTATGTTATTCTAGGTTTAGATCCTAGGTGTGTTGTTCTAGACATGGCTTACCCGAGCAGACAACTCGAGCCG